CACATATATGCAAAGACCACAAATCCACATATCCCCTTATTCAACTTGCGATATAACTATTTACAAAATCAAACAGTACATTTTTTTGTTGTTTTGTTTTTGAAGCTAATAATTCTGTATTTACAAGAGGGGATGGGGGGGGAAGGCCGCTGCCCGAGCAGACATGCAGTTGGAGATCTCTAATCAGTGGTTTCCAGTAAAGCCCTACACAGTTGGCATTTCCCCTGGTAACCTTGTCTTCTTACGCATTCTACTCACCCCTTCGCCTACCAAGCCTTGGAACAGAGCAGAACAGTCAAAAAAAAAAAAAAAAGAAAAAAGAAAAAAAAAAAAGAAAGGAAAGAGAAAGGGGAAAAAAAGAGAAATAAAAGAAAAAAAAAGAAAGTAAGAAAAAAAACAATTTAAAAAAAAAAAAAGAAGTCTTCATTTTACTCAGTCCTGGGTCTACTGGCAGCATTTTATTTTTGTTTGCTCATTTAAATTCTGATTTCAAAGTGTTCATTATTTTTGGAGTCTTTAAATAGGGTATTTGTTTGCTCGCTTGGGGCTTTTTTGTTTTGTTTCGTTTTGTGTTTTTTTTGTTGTTTTGTTTTAGCGTTTTAGACGTACCATTCGTTAAAATTTGATGTAAGCGTGCTGTGGCTGGACGTGTGGTGGACTGCGGAGGAGGAAGTCGCTTGGGGCTTTTTTGTTTTGTTTCGTTTTGTGTTTTTTTTGTTGTTTTGTTTTAGCGTTTTAGACGTACCATTCGTTAAAATTTGATGTAAGCGTGCTGTGGCTGGACGTGTGGTGGACTGCGGAGGAGGAAGGGGATAAGGAGCTGGCGGTCTGGTTTTCTGTGGATGGAGACACGATGGTTGGAGGGGTGGAGGACTCGTAGCCTGAGCTGGCGGCGGGAGAAGGCTGGGACCCCTGCGAGGATGATTCATGGACCTGCAAGAGAAAACCCGGGCAGAAATAGAGAGCGGCGGAGGACGGAGGCCCTCGGCGGCGGTCGCCTTCGGCTGGGGATGCGCCAGACAGCGGGACCCAGCGCCGAG